GCAGCGGCAACGGCAGTCGCAGTCACAGCCTCAGCCTCAGCCTGCCTCAGCCTCAGCCTCAGCCTCAGCCTGCCTCAGCCTCAGCCTGCCTCAGCCTCAGCCTCAGCCTGCTCTAGCCTCAACATCAGTCTGCCTGCAGCCTCGGCCTCAGCCTCAGCCTGCCTCAGCCTCACCCTGCATCAGCCTCAGCCTCAGCCTCAGCCTGCCTCAGCATCAGCCTGCCTCAGCCTCAGCCTCAGCCTGCCTCTGCCTCAGCCTCAGCCTGCTTCAGCCTCAGCCTCAGCCTCAGCCTCAGCCTGCCTCAGCCTGCCTCAGCCTCAGCCTCAGCCTCAGCCTCAGCCTCAGCCCTCATCAGCCTCAGCCTCAGCCTCAGCCTCAGCCTGCCTCAGCCTGCCTCAGCCTCAGCCTCAGCCTGCCTCAGCCAGCCTCAGCCTGCAGCTCAGCCTCAGCCTCAGCCTCAGCCTCAGCCTGCCTCAGCCTCAGCCTCCTCAGCAGCCTCAGCCTCAGCCTCAGCCTGCCTCAGCCTCATCAGCCTCAGCCTGCCTCAGCCTCAGCCTCGGCCTCAGCCTCAGCCTCAGCCTCAGCCTGCCTCAGCCTCAGCCTCAGCCTCAGCCTCAGCCTGCCTCAGCATCAGCCTGCCTCAGCCTCAGCCTTCAGCCTCGGCCTCAGCCTCAGCCTGCCTCAGCCTCAGCCTGCATGAGCCTCAGTCTCAGCCTCAGCCTGCCTCAGCATCAGCCTGCCTCAGCCTCAGCCTCAGCCTGCCTCAGCCTCAGCCTCAGCCTGCTTCAGCCTCAGCCTCAGTCTGCCTTCAGCCTCGGCCATCAGCCTCAGCCTGCCTCAGCCTCAGCCTGCATCAGCCTCAGCCTCAGCCTCAGCCTGCCTCAGCATCAGCCTCAGCCTCAGCCTCAGCCTCAGCCTGCCTCAGCCTCAGCCTCAGCCTGCCTCAGCCTCAGCCTCAGCCTGCTTCAGCCTCAGCCTCAGTCTGCCTTCAGCCTCGGCCTCAGCCTCAGCCTGCCTCAGCCTCAGCCTGCATCAGCCTCAGCCTCAGCCTCAGCCTGCCTCAGCATCAGCCTGCCTCAGCCTCAGCCTCAGCCTGCCTCAGCCTCAGCCTCAGCCTGCTTCAGCCTCAGCCTCAGTCTGCCTTCAGCCTCGGCCTCAGCCTCAGCCTGCCTCAGCCTCAGCCTGCATCAGCCTCAGCCTCATCAGCCTGCCTCAGCCTCAGCCTCAGCCTGCCTCAGCCTCAGCCTCAGCCTCAGCCTGCTTCAGCCTCAGCCTCAGTCTGCCTTCAGCCTCGGCCTCATCCTCAGCGTGCCTCAGCCTCAGCCTGCATCAGCCTTAGCCTCCGACTCAGCCTGCCTCAGCCTCAGCCTGCCTCAGCCTCAGCCTCAGCCTGCCTCAGCCTCAGCCTCAGCCTGCTTCAGCCTCAGCCTCAGTCTGCCTTCGGCCTCAGCCACAGCCAGCCTCAGCATCAGCCTGCCTCAGCCTCAGCATCAGCCTGCCTCAGCATTCAAAATGCGGCCCGGGAATGGAATTCTGGGAACTCGAAAAACACGAAGTGGCCTACAGTTGGCTCCGGGCATTCAAAATCATGCCCAAGAATGGAGTTCTGGGAACTCGAAGACGACGAAGTGACCTACAGTTGGCTCCGGGCATTCAAAATGTGGGCCGGGAATGGAATTCTGGGAACTCGAAGAGCACGAAGTGGCCTACACTTGGCTCCGGGCATTCAAAATGTGGCCCGGGAGTGGAGTTCTGGGAACTCGAAGACCACGAACTGGCCTACAGTTGGCTCCGGGCATTCAGAATGTGGCCCGGGAATGGAGTTCTGGGGCCTCGAAGACCATGCAACTGTTGGCAAAACAAAATCGCCGGCACCCTCCCCCGGATCGCGCCCAGACCCCCCTGGGGCGTCATGATGCTTTTGACCCTACTAGAAACCTATCAGTCTTCGCTGTTCGGTAACAACGTTAAATGCATCATCGCGCGAGGGGCCCTGGGAAGGCTAGGGCCGCGTGGAGTCGGATGGCCCGGGGGCGGCGGATTGTCCCCGCCCCTTTCCTTCGCCTTCTTCATGGGCCGACCCCGTTCCCCCGAGTCCCCCGAGGGGTTGGCGTCGACCGTCCGCGGGGCCTGTGCGGGCCGAGCCAGCGTGGCCTTTGGCTTCTTATGCGACTGCAAAGGCATCCTGCGCCCCGCACTTTGCCCGGGTCTGCATTCTAAGACCCGGGGCGCGGCAAAACTCCACCCCTTGCGCTCCGCCTGCCTGTCGCCAATGATCAAGAAGATCCAGCGGCGGCCGCGGGGCGTCTCCTCCGCCTCCGCCTGGGCGGGCCATCGCCGGACCCAGGAAAAGAAATGCGAGCGTCTTTGACCCCGTCATCCTCGTCTTCGGAATTCACCGTTAACCCCGCCCCCCCGTCGCCCCTGGTCGAGCAGGGCCCGGCGGGGAATCGGCTAAGGTTTCTGGCGCCCCCTGGGGGTTGAACCGCCAGATGGCCAGGCAAATGCGCAGAAAGTCGCGACGATGGTTCCTCCGCGGAGTTCAGGACTGCCACCCAATATCTCAAGTAGCAGGGGCGAGGTCTCCTTGGCCTCGCTTCTGTGCGATAGCGAGATGGGCAGCGGCGTTGCCCGGTCAATCCGCCGTCGCTTCCCTCGCCCCCCCCCCCTGAGAATCTGATTCGGGATTTTGGCGCGTGCCTCGGTGCAAGCGAAGTTCCGAATATCAGCCTCTAGCTGGAAGACGCTCACTTGTTTCTCTTCTTATTCTTAGTCATCTTCCAACCGTCTCTTCTCTGCCCCGGATTCGGCGCCTGCGTTTCTCGGAGAAGAATGCTCATTGCAACGTGGTGCGCCATGTTCAACGCGGCTTCCCCGCGCTGGCAGCGAACGGAAACCGCGCTTCCCCTGCAGAACGTCGCTCTCCCCTTGGGCGCACGCAGGGTCAGCGGGCGCCTCGAACTATCCGAAGCTATTCGCGCCCACTGCCAACCGACTGCGTCGGGGCAAAAGCGGGGCCGCTCGGAAAAAATGGGCCAGACGCGAGTTGGACGACTCGGAAGGTTCAGCCTAAGTGTCTGCCCAACAGACAGCCCCGGAATCTCGGGCGGCCAGAAGACGCACGCGGCGCCAAGGGTTGAACCCGGGGCGCGGCCGGCTTCCCTTGCCGCCCAGTTTGCTCCTGAGCGAGATATGCGCTTTCCGGTTGGATCAAGTCTTCCTTGATTTCCTTGGACGCATCGACGGCGGCTTGCTCCTCCAGAGATGCCTGCTGGATTGCAGCGCCTGCTCTCGACCTTACATGCTGCGCTCACTTTGGCAGCGAGTGCCGTCCGTTCACGGAAGACTGCCGCCGCTCTCTGCTTGGGGCCAGATGCAGCGCGGTGCATCTGGTGCTCTGTCTCAGCTGTATTATTCAACGAAAGTTGTTCCTCCACGATTGCCGATCTAGCTGCCCATATTTCTTCTCGTCTTCCTGACTTTCCTGCAGAGACAATTGAACTGCCTCCGAGGTCACTTGTTGATTCAGGTGATCAGTTAAAGCTATCAACATAAATCGTTCCTTTTCTCTCTGGAGCGCCCCTATCTGAATATTCATATGAGCCGCCATCTGATCGCTGAGGATCAATTCTCCCACGACTTCCTTTCCTTTTCCCTTTTGCTGCCATGTCATAGACGCGATGCATTGGCAATCATGTTCTCGCGGGTCAACGCGGCCCGCGGAAAGCCAGCTAACATTGGCTTGCATGTGGCGGAGCGCGCTTCGCACACGGGCCTGCGGCAGAAAATTATCTCTTTTCCCGCCTCTCCGCGGCACCGATGCCCAGCAAGACACCAACAAAGAAAGACGACTAAAAGAGGGTTGCTCAGCAGTGCCGTTGGATTCGCCGCTATTTTTCCGCCTAATACGACCTACCACAGGCGCCCCGAGCTAAGTGCGTCCACGGGAATCGGGGATCTTGGAGAAGGGGGCACAATATCCATGTCAATTATCCTTTTTTTTCGCACCTTGAGCTTGACAGGTTGGACCTGCCATGTCAAGCAACTCCTCATCTCCCCCCTTCCATTTCGCGAATGATAATATAGTTAAACAAAGCTGCGTGTTTCCCGCTTGAACGGAAATATGCGTTGGCGAATCATCTACCTCCAAACCGTTTTCGGATCGCCCCACTGGCCTGTTGTGAGGACGGCGTAGCCCAAGTGGGTTCCATCGGGCCCTCGGGTGGTCTACCATTCCTGGCTCCCGAGGGCTCAACGTGTCAACTGGTGATTGCAAGAGTTCTACAAATTTCGCCCCTCGATATGATTGGCGACGGGATAATTGACTGATGGTTGAAACACCCCCTGGCATGCCGGCACGTTCGTCTGGCATCAAGCCATGAGCGTCAGCTAGACCACCGGTTAAATTGGCAGCTTCGCTCGCAGCATGTTGCGATTATGTTTTCAGTGCTGAGCTCAACAAGCTGAGCTCCGAATCGATGTGTGCCGGTAGGAATCGATCAATATCCATCTCTTTCACGTCGGTATTCTCACCAAAACGACGGGAATCTTCATTGAATCAAAAGCACGTCGATGGGCACCATGGATTGTATATCGCGTCGCGGCGTGGTTGAACTTTCTGTTGGTAAGCGCTTATTGCCCCAGAGGACCACAAGACCCTGACACAATCGTTTGTCTCTGACTTTGTTATAGATCGTGCACCGATATACCATCTCAGTAGTTTGGATGCTATACAATCGGCCATTATGTGATGTAAGTCCGTTAAGCAGAAACTAGCGAGTAAACGTGATTGCGCGCGCGCACTAGAACAAGGCACGCGGACCTGTTCTGTCTCATTCGCCGCCCAAACAACTGCGCGGTCCACGCGATGACCGATGTCGAAATTCGATGGCGGCGGCGGCGACGGCAGGGACGGAGCAACATTAACTGAAAAGGAAGAGGAGGGGGATGAGGAGGACGAGGACGTTCCGGAACGCCAAAGGCAGCCGCCCCCATACGGCCTGAGGTTCAGCTTGAAGTAATCGATGAGCAGCACAGCGTCGTCACCTTCTGCTGGCGCGTCGTCACCTCAGGCTGGCGGAGGGTAAGCCGGGGGGGGGATGAACGGACAACACGCCCCCATGCTTTAGGGGATGCTGTCCCGCGCCTCGCGGGTTCAGGGCGCGCCAGGAAGAAGGGCGCGGGTGGTCGGACCCCGAGGGGGGGCTCCCATGCGAGCTGGGACCCCCATGCGACCACACACGCCCATTGCCACCCCTGGGGTCGTAGAAGTCTGGGTGCCAGTTGTCACCTCATGGGGGAGGGGGGGGGCGAGACGGGGCGAGGGCGGGCCCTGGAGGCGGAGGCTGACGGAGGGTTGGTGGCACCACGGGGTCTCTCCTGCGTCGTGCTGGGCTCGATGGCAGGGGCGGCACCGCTCCCCAGGGTCGTGCCACCCCTGACGGGCTGCAGGGCGCAGGGGCAAGCGCGGAACCACGGGAATGCGTCTGGGATTCGGGGAAGCGGGCACAACTGGATCCCAAGGCCGTTCCCCGGGAGCAGCGCTTCATCCTGCGTCGCTGTTTGACAGTCCTTGGAGCCCGTGTAGGGCCCCGAGATCTCGACGACGGTAAAAAACAGGACTCGCTTTCGTCAGGACCTCTTACGCTCGTGGTGGCGCATGGGGTCAAGAAATACACGGCAGGACAGCTGGGCCAGGAATGCTCACACTATTTTCCCCAGCCCTTAGCATCCGCGCCACTCCCTCACCCACCCCAACTCCACCCCTCACCCGGAAGAAGAGAAAGATAAGGTAGAGGACGAGGAGAGGAACGAGAGAGGAGAAGGACGAGGACGAGCACTTCCTGCTCGTCCTTCTCCTCTTGCGACTGCTCTTCCAGCTCCTGCCCCTTATCCTGCTCCTCCTCAGGTTCCTCACGCACATTTCTCGCTCGCTATATACATGTGTACGTGTATGAACATGGTTTGTTTATCAATGTGCGCGTGTCTGCAAGGATACACCCACATACTAAACACACCCATGCACGTACATACACACATGTGCATGTCCATGGCTTATATATATATATATATATACATATCCATATATATATATATGATGTGTATATATATATATATGTATATACATACATGCATGCACACACATAAGGACTGTGTTTCGTTTCCTCCCTCCTACTTACGCCTCCTGCCCTCCATTCCCCTCCCCTCCCTCCCTCCCTCCTCCTCCTCCTCATCATCGCCCTTCTTCAACCACCCCTCCTGCCAGCGGCGGAAAAACTGTGCGCAGGCAACCCGTGACCCCAGCACCCTCCTCCTGCTCCTCCTGCTTCTCGTCCTCTTGTTCCTTCTCCTCCTCCTCCTCGAACTCAATGTTTTTGTTCCGTATCCTCGCCCATCCTCAAGGCCCCCATCCAGGTCCTCCTCCTCCAACTCCTCTTCCTCTTCCTCTCCCTTCCTCCTCCCAATTCCTCTCCTCTCACTACTCCCACCCTCCTCTGCTCCACATTACTGCAACAATATGCACCCAACGCCAACAGGAAACACATACCAGCACCCGACACGGGGGATGCATGCTGTTGCTCAAAAGCGTCTTGGGCAATGGGCACTTTCACCCCGTGTTTGCTGCCAGCCTTTCGGAGCCCGGAAATCCAAGGGATGCCCACGCATCTGAAAGCCAACGGCTCGCCCCCGCTCACCGTGTCCTGCCTCGTGTTCCGTGCCTCCCGTCACTTTCTGTAGCTCCTCCCCTCCTGTCCGCTTCATGTGTTCCCTCTCTCTCTCTTTGTCCCTCCCTTTCCCTCGCCCCTCATGCCTCTCTCCGACTTCCTGCCATCCTTCTCCTCCTCCTCCTCCTCCTCCTCCTCCTGCAGCAGAGGTGGTCAAGTCGTATCAAGCAGGCGACGCCCTGCTCCAAGAGATTCGTCGATTGTGGGCGCGGCGGCAAGCATGAAAACCAGGGTTCAACGGATGCAGCGCAAGCCCTGCGACTGGCGAACGCATCAACTCCTGTCGGGCTGAGGCTGCAAAGGCTCCTGGCATCTCCTGGCATCACGAGATGGCAAGGAAGGAGTGCCCCCTGCACAAGGGTCGCACACCTCGGTCTTCCAAGTCGCCGTTCTCGGCCGTGTGCTTACCGGAGGGAAAATAATCGGAGTCGATCACCTCCGCATCGTGGAGGCACCCAGCGGACAACAGAATTATTCCACTGGCCCTCCCCAGCTGCGACCCATGCCGCGGCGCCGCGCATTCGGAGTCCACATGTGCTCAGCTGCAGAAAGCACTGCAATATAGGCAGGCGCATGCGCAACAGGGCTATCCTTACTACCTTCATCGCATGCTTGTTGGCCCCATCATTACTATGCGTCTGCGGTGTGGTGGAATGGGTTGCACGACATTTCTCATCGCGTCCCCATGTTTCTGATATTGGGCACCATGCCAATCACCCTCTCACTTGACCTCCACCACTCAATAATCCTCCTCTCGCCTCTGGTCTTGGCTCGCGTTACCTGTATGTATGAAAAACCCGGATGCAAAGATTTCGCCCTGCTGCTCTGCCGCCTGGCCTCTCCACGCAGACCACTGGACTCACCTGCTCCGAACGGTGAGATCAATCATACTCCCTCATCCTGCTCCTCATCCTCCTCCCCCATCCTTACCAGTCTTTGCATTATCCTCCCTACTCGCATCCTCATCATGCTCCTCACCATTCTTCATCCCCTGTCGTCGCTGCTCTTCATATATTTCGTGTGCGTCTCCAACGAAGGGACCTTCACTGGAACCATGCGACCGAAATCCTCCAGGCATGCATTCTGCGAGTTGCTCAACAGGAGCTCCACCAAAAACTCCTTGCAGAAGGGAGGGGAGCACAGGAAGGAGGGGGAGTCCACCCTCAATGTACTCCGTCGATCGCCTTCGACTCGAAGGCTTCGAGCACCCCAGGCAGAGGCATGACAGCGACGATGGCTAGCGGGTCTTCTGCCTGGTGGAACCATGGAGGATCGTCGGAGGCCGCAAACTTGCAAGAACGCCCTGCCTCCGTCTCGAAACTCCACGGCCCCATCCACCTGTTCATCTTAGTTAGCAAACACGGCATACGAAGGTCTGAGGAGCCAGAAACGTCTGCTGTGCAAGCGCCGGCTTGTGGCAAGGCGGCGGCGCACGCTCAAGAAACACACTTGTACAATTGCATCCGCGTCCATCATTCTACTTCCAGCCCACGGGGCCATCTTTCGAGGAGCAGCCTCCCTCGGCCCCTGTCCCTCCTCCTCCTGCCTGTGGCGCAGGAGCCCCCTTCCGAGAGGCAGGACCGAAGACGCCTCGAGCCTTCAGAACGCCATCGCATCCCGACTACGCGCCTTCCAACCGTTGCTGTCCACAACGCGTCGTGGCTCCTGGAGACATCCTCGGGGTGGTGCGGAAGGCCAGCCCTCTGGAGGGCACGCTCTGGCCTCGGAAGCCCCACGGATGGCTCTGCGACGCTGGCTGGCGCGAGAGCTCCTGGAATCGAGACCCGAGGAAAAGGAGGAACATATTCCTGTTCCTACTGCGGCCCCATGACCCTCGGCTCGTCAGGCTCCCAGCTGCTCTCTTTTCCCCTCCGTTGGGCCACGCTCTGCACCGCCCAGAGTCTGATCAAAAGCAGCCTCACCCCTCCGCTTCCGAAGTGGGGCAACCGCCCCAACTCGGAGGCGGGGGGGCGCAGGTGGATCGGAAACCACCGCCCCAAGGCCCCCCAGGCTGACCAGAGGCGCCGCTCGTCGACCGCCTCGCGGCCTAACTGCAAGCTTTTGCGCCCGCATCCTGGCCTCGGCTTCGGCTGCCGCAGAGCGGCCAGAATAGGCCCAGCAGGGCTGTTGGCTGAACGGGCGACGCCACTCAGTCTGTCATAGACAAGCCAAGAAGCTCTGAGCATCGGCTAACCTGGGCAAGACCAAGAAATTGTATCGGTATCGGAGGTGAGGCAGTGAAATCGAAATGGAACGGAAAGCCCCCCTACCGGGAAATCGGTTTCGGTTTCGTGTTCGTGAGTGCCGTGCGTGCGGGCGAGGCGAAACTGCGTGGGCGGGCGAAAAATGTCCCGCCTCTGGCTGAGGCGCGGCCGGACCAAGTCTCCGTTCCGGGAACCGGTGCCCCGCGGTGTTCCGCCTGTGTCCCGCCGGTGCCCCGTCGGTGTCCCGATGATGACGATGATGATGATGATGACGATATTGTTAATGATGATGGTGATGATGGTGATGATGGTGATGATGATGATGGCCATGGTCGTGATGATGATGGTGTCTGGATGCTGCTGATGATGATGTCGATGATGCGGATGCTGCTGATGGTGAACACGATGGTGTCCCGATGATGATGACGAGCATGCTGATGATCATGATGATGTTGATGCTGATGATATGGTTAAATGATGTTGATGGGGATGCTGATGGGGATGATGATGATGATGATGATGATGTCCCGATGGTGGTGGTGTTGATGATGATGGCAATGATGATGGTGTCCCAACGATGGTGATGTTGATGATGATGACGATGGTGGTGTCCCAATGATGATGATGATGATGATGATGATGATGACGTTGGTAATGCGGATGATGATGTGCAGATGATGATTTTGATTGGTGGCCCGGTTATGATTTTTGTTTTTACCCCCCACATGGAGCCCGCAGCGAGCCCCGTCCGCCCGAGGCGCCAGGGCATGGGGCGTCACCAGGGGCGCCCACGCGGGGCACCCACCTGGCCGTGCCGACCCCGAAAAGGGCCAGACCACCGAAGCACCCTCCCCTGAGTCCCGCCCGCCGCTGGGACGAGGTCGAGACCTGCTCTCGCGTGCTGCTGAGGTATGCAGCATCGCCAGGGGCGCCCCAACGAGGCACCCACCTGGCCGTGCCGACCCGTAAAAGGGCCAGACCACCGAAGCCACTCCCTCCTTCAGCTGCCGCCATGGCCAGGGCCACGCAGGATGCGCAGCACGATCGCGGTGTTCTTCTTAATCTCGTCGGCCATGACGTCAACGCTGCCGTCCATGCCGTTGACGGCCACAACCATGTCCATGACCTTCACCTTCTTGGTCGGGTTGGTCGTATTCCACTGCTTGATCAAAGAGCCGTCCTTGATGCCCGTGATCCTGAACATCTGCCCGTCCAGGAAGGGGCCCGCGCCGATCCCGATCGACTCCGCAGGTGAACTCTTCTGCAAGACAACGTTGAAGCACTTTCACTTGGGCCCCTTGCCCTCCGCAGTTCGACGAACGCCACTTCCACCGTGGTGAACACCCCGCTCAGCACGTGGAGAGCCCACAGGCACGGCACGGGGAACAGGTTCTACCAAATGAACACCCTCAGCACGAGTACGACGACCACCAGGAACTGCACGAAGATCAGGCTCCACGCGCTGAGCATTGGGATGCAAACCATAATCACCACCATCAGGATCATCATGCCCGCCCACCTGAACACCATCACCTCCCAACTGTTGGTCGTCGTCACATTCGTCAGCTCACGCCGCACGAGCAGTTCGACTTTTCTCGTTCAACGTCATAGTAGCATGCTCCACACGCCAATCAGGCTCAACACGAAAGCAACTACGACGATGAGGCTCCACGGGCTCCACGCGTAGAGCAGGCTCCGCTCGAAGTTCAGGCTGCACGCTGCGATCGGGCTCCACGCGAAGATAAGGTTCCACGCGAGGGCCAAACTGCCCTCGTCGATCAGGCTCCCCACTGAGTTCACGAAGATCAGGCGCCACCCGAGGAACATCATCCAGAGGATCCTGTACTTTGTCGGCAGCTCGTTCTCGCCTGCGCGCTCTCCGTCTCGCACTCTTGGACAGCTCGGGCTCGACTCCAACATCGCCCTCCGCGCGATGATCGCCATCCAGCTCCCCTGGTCGAGCATCAGGCTCCGCGCGAAGATCGGACTCCTCACGATGCTCGGGTTCCACGCCAGGCTCCGGATCCACCCGCCGAACATTAGGCTCCACACTAAAAGCCAGCTCCTCCAGAAGATCGAGCTCCACGCACCGCGCGATCGCCACGGGAAAATCACCACATTCGTAATGCACACCGTCGATTACATCCTCCTGCGCGTCATCCTTCGGACGATCCGCGTCGCAGAGAGAGTGCACATCACCGGGGCTCTCGGCCAGTGCCCAGTCCAGCATGCCAGGATCCGCACTATGACCTCCAGACCGATCACAGTGATCTCCAGGCTCTCCATGAAGCTCACCATGCCCTCCACTAGCAGACGCCACCATTCCACCATGAGAATCACAATGGCGGCCCATAAAACATTCAGCAGCAACATCTTGTTGATGAGGCACCAATTCTCGTAGCAAAATGTGAACATCGCCCGCGGCCTCCGCGCGGAACTCGGGCGCGCGCACGTTGAAGGGGAAGGAGGGTACGTGAGGAAACCCAGCCACACTAGCGCCATGCTCCTGCATCGCGAGTACTCGAGGTCGCTTGGAAGGATTGCCGCACGTAGTACCACCAGGTCCACTGCTACGCGCCGTCCCATGAGGGCCACCAGGCGGGCCTCCATGAGGGCCCTCAGCAGCGCGCCGTCTACCGCCAGCAGCCCCGTCTCCAGCATCATGATCATGCCCATCACCTCCATCGGGGGGGCCATGACCATCATCATCGCCATGGTCGTGGTCCGCACCTGCATGAGGGGAAAGCGGCGTCGGAAGATAATCTTGACGCGCGACTCTCCAGCAGAAGTGTGGCGCCCATGATCGACCGCAACATAGCGCGGCAAGCGCTGCCGAAGTTCTTCCATGAGCAACGCCGCGATGGCATTGTCCATCCGAGCGTCGTACTTGGCTGGAAGGACCAGGGCGAGGACGAACTTGTGCTCGCGGCTGTTCATCCTGACCTTGCATTGGCGACCAAGCAGCAGCTGCTGAATCACCCACTCCAATCGCGAAGACGAAACCATGGAGGCGCGGCGGGGGGGGGCGGCCGCAAGCGCGGCCGTGCGGCCCACGGGCAAGCTGGTGCTCGACCAAATGGGCTTTGGTGGCCCGGTGATGATGATGACGTTGATGATGATGATGGTGTCCCGGTGATCGTGATGGCGATGATGATGATGGTAGCGATAATGGTGCGTCCCGATGATGATGCTGTTGATGGTGATATTGCTGATAATGATGATGGTGTCCCAATGATGATGATGATGCCGATACTGTTGTTCATGATGATAATAATGAAACGATGATGATGGTAGTGTTCCGATGTTGATGATGATGGTGTCCCGAGCATGATGGTGATGTTGATGATGATGGTGACGATGAGTGTCCTGGTGATGGTGATGATGGCGATGATGCTGATGATGGCCATGGTGCTGATGATGGTGCCCCGATGATGACGATGCTGATGTCGCTGATGACGATGATGGTGCCCCGATGATGACGCTGATGATGAAGATGATGATGTTGATGATCATGATGATGTGGATAATGATAGGATGATGCGATGATTACGATGAAGATGAAGATGATGGTGCCCCGATGGTGACGATGAGGTTGATGATTATGCTGTTCATGATAATGATGCTGGTGAAGATGATGGTGTCCCGATGATGATGCTGTTGATGCGGATGATGGCGATGATGATCGATGGTTATGATGTGACTGATGAGGGCGACGATAAGGTGATGATGAGTTTGATGATGGTAGCCCGATGATGGTGATGCTAATGTTGGTGATGATGATGATGGTGTCCCGGTGGTGATGATGATGGTGATGATTTGTGTAACGATGATGATGGTGTCCCGATAATGATGATGTTGATGATGATGTAGCTGGTGACGATGATGGTGTCCCGATGATGAGGATAATGATGATGAGGATGATGATGATGATGGATTGATGTCAGTGCTGGTGCTCCGATGATGATGATGATGATGGAGCCTCGATGGACATGATGTTGATGATGAATAGGACGGTGACGATGATGGTGCCCCGATGATGAGGATGGTGATGGTATGATGATGGTGATGAGGTGATGATGATGGTGCCCCGGCGGTGATGACGATGAGGATGTTGACGACGTCGGGGGCGATGCTGTCGACGATGGCAATGATGACGTTGATTGTGAGATTGATTGTGATATCGATAGTGGTATGGATCGTGAAACCGAATGCGAGATAGATTCTGAGATCGATAGTGAGATCGATTGTGAAACCGATAGTCATATCGATTGTGCCATCGGCCGAATGAAATTGATCGAGTGATATCGATTGTGAGATCGATCGGGTGAGATCGGTCGAGCAAGACAGATAATGAGATCGATCGTAAGATCGATAGCGAGACCGATCGAGTGAGACGCTGCCCCCCCCCCCCCGAACCCCCTTCTCGCCCGAAGGGTGGTCGTATAGGTAGAGATGAACTCGCTACGCGTGGAACTGCGACGTGCTGGACAAGCGCGAATTGCAACCGCGCGGGGGGCTAATGCCCGAACTGGGCAACGGTGATAGATCCGCCACCGTGGCGCGCTGTAGGCACTGAGTAGGGCGCCCTCAGGCCCCTTCGGGCTCCGCGTTCAGAATTGCAGGGGCCTGCGCTCTGGATGCCCAGTCACTTTTTTTTTCTGGCGCGGGGTGGGGTGGGGCGGGGTGGGGCGGGGCGGGGTGGTGTGTGTGTGTGTGTGTTTGTGTGTTTGTGTGTTTGTTTGTGTGTGTGTGTGTGTGTGCGTGCGTGCGTGCGCGCGCGCGTGCGTGCGCGTGCGTCTGCGCGCGCGCGCGTGTGGTGGTGGGGGGGGGGGGGGGGGGGGGGGGGGGGGGCGCGGGGGCCCCAGGAGGCATCGGAGGAGACCGAGGGCCACGATCCGACGATGAACGCCGCGCCACCTCCCCAGTGGCACAGCGGCCAGAACCGAAGGCCAGCGTTCAGAGACGACAACGCACCTGAACTTCATTGCGCCGTGGCGTCGGCACTCTGCCGACACTGCTCGCGCGCGCTATGGGCGCAAGCCCCGAGGGGTGTAAACAATAAGCCATATTGCTTACCCGGGCCCTCCATGCCATCGGCCACGCCTTGGCAAGACCCCCCCAGAGCCCGCGTTCGCAGCGGCATTCGCACTTCCTTGCACACGAGAGGAGGAGGGGGGGGGGGGGGGGAACTGTGCAGCGGCCTGCTCGCGCCAAGAGCGGGCGTGAAAATGGCGACGACGGGAAGTCGCCCGTAGTCTAGCTTCGAAGCGTTCCTCAGCGGAGAATGACACCTCGCAGAGGTGCAAGCCGAACGTGTCAGCACACGCAACGCAGACACCAGTAGATGAGGTTGAGTCTTTCGGACCAAGGAATAAACATTGATATAGAAACCCATCGACATGGGTTTGCTGGGCAAGGGGAAACCACTTACGAATGCGTCGGAGCAGGATGCTTTGAAAACTTCCCCTCGGAGGACCATTGGGCCAGAGCATGCGCTATAGAGCCCGCTGCCATTTTGGCACCTCGGGTGGAAGCCTGCACGGCCCCTCTGGAACCACTGGACCTGGTGGGCAACGGAGAAGAGACACATACCAAGGATAGAGTCTTCTCATGTACGACAAGAAGGATGTTGCCCACCAGCCACTGCACGTGCGGATAAAAACATGATCGGGCTCATCTTCTATCGCCTCAAGGTGGCAGATGGGCGCTCCAATCAAATCACTGCGACTAATGTATCGAAGGCAGACAGCACGACAAAGCGTGACAACATCTTGAAATTCGAGCGGGAGATGGATGGCCGATAGTTGCGTACACATCGCATGGGATATAGCGTTACGTGGCCCTGCGGTCAAACACGTCGCAGCTTCTCTGCATGCATGAATAAGTGACGCCGATACCTCATGCACCTGCATGGTAAACATGAGCGTGGACACACACGTGACGCGGACAGCCAGGGCAGAGCGAGTGAGACCAAGACGCAGCTGGCGCGTCGTGCTTACACGCTGTTGAAATCTCGGGCATGCTTCTGACCATGCCAGCCGAGCGGCTCCAGGGCCGATGCAAATACCTAGATATTTGACCGCGTCCAACACTTGAATGCGCTTGAAATCGCCCTTGAGCACCCGAACAGAGTCCCTCAGGAGGCCAAACATCAATGGAGCCGACGACCAGGATCTGGCACTTTTTGAAATTAAGCGCAAGGCCGGCAAAGTTTTCGAGCTGCGTCAGCAGGGCGAGGAGGGGGCCCAGGGAACGACGGCCGTCAGGAAGCCCGGAGCAAAAATCATCAGCATATGCAAAAGCCCTGCCGATGTGCGACGAAACTTTGAAGCGAATCCACCTCCACAGCGGGTCCGCGGCAATAACGAATAGTAGCATACTGCTAGGGCATCCCTGCTTGACACCGCTGGCCATACAGAATTCACCGTGCGTGCGGCCGCCCAGGGGGATGATGGCAATATTGTTTTGATACAGCATGTGGAAGAAGCTACACACGTACAAGCACACACGCATATGTGAGATGATATGTAGCATCCAAGGAATGGCCAATGATGGAAAAAACAACACAACAATCCGTCATGAAAAGGACGGCGCTCGGGCGATCCAACACGTGCTGCTCGAGCCCCCATCCCTCCGCGTCCACAGCATGTGTAATCATGTCCCTCCCAGCAGCACACTTCTGTTATGTTGTAACTGTACGTTTCGTGTTGAGAGCGAGCGGCACCGTGATGGCTCCAGCGAGCAGTTTCATATCAGTATTGGACATACTTACGGGCGTGTGCAGCTAGGGTGGCGAACAATCGAGTCGGCCTTGTCCCAGGGGTCCGAGCCTTTCGGGAGGAGGACCATGAGGCTCCGCCCCATCGCAACGGGCAACTCAGACACGTCGTCAGTGGATAATGTGAGGTATACATCATATAGAAGACGAACAGCCTCAAGAACTTTCCAGATCGCGTACGGAAAACCAGCTTCCCCTGGCATACTATGAATACGACTTCGGACATAGTCAAACCATTCATCGTAAGACAGTTTCCATGACCGAGAAAGGGGTTCAGGGATGGTTTGGATAACCGCATCGGTCTCAGGCCACGAGGATTGATCCAGCTGGGGGGGGGGAAACACCTTGGACCAGTAGTCTTTCAAGACCTCAGCGGAGTGGTCGATAGACCTGCAAGGCATTCCATTCTCATCATAAATGCTAGAAAGATACGTACGGATCTTAAGCTTGCGACACATCTCTTGTCAGCGTGCAATGCGTTGTTTGTGTGATGTCTTTACTTCGGACGGCGTATCCGCCCAAAAAGATGAAAACTCCAGGTCGTGTGATTCCTGGTAAAGCAATTGCATCTCGCTGGATTCCCAGTCACCCTTGGGCGTTCCTGGTCGCTCTCGGGGCGACTCGCATGCCTTGTCTGGAGGCCTCGGGAGGGTGGCTGGGATGTAAGATGGTCCCAGGATCAGTCCTGGAGCTCTCTTGTGCGCCTCTTAGGCCGGGCTTTGGGGCATAAAGTGGCCCCAAGATGCCTCAAGGACAGCCCAAGGTGGCCCCAGGAGGGTCTCGGGGTCACCTTGAGAAAGCACAAGGGGCCCCTAAAGGGCCACAAGAGGCTCCGAGAGGACTTTCGGGAGGCCCACAGGAAGCCAAAATCATTGACCTCCCTTTTTCGGTGATTGAAGGATGTTCGCGTTCTGGCGCTACGTTCGGCCACGCAGGCGTTCCCAGAAGGGCAGGGGTCGGCGGCGTAGACGACATGATGCAACATCCTCCGCCTGTGTACCTCCAGGACGACACGGGAGTGGTGGGGGCGGATGAGCAACAAAAGTCCTGCCAGGGGCCAAGGCCACCTCCTGTGCTCCATGCGACACAGGCCCCCCCACGTCCTCTCCCCCCGTGCCCCCGTTTCCTGCAGGGGTGCCCAGCTGTCGTCAGCGATCAGCCTGACGTTGAACGTCTTGTGGGTCTCCCCGGGAACAAACTTCAGTCGACCTCGCGGCCGCTGAAGAGTGAGAATGGGGGAGTGAGAAAGAGAAGGAGAATAAGGAGAACGAGGAGGACGAGGGGGACGCAGAAGAGGAAGTTCCCCCACGTGACAGATATGTGCATCAGAAGCGCGCGCTTCTCATGCGCGATCAGGTTCTAGCGATGCTACAGTCGGGGGGCTGCACATGCACTCTTTGGCAAGAAGGGACGGTGCGGGGGGTCCCTGCCCGAAGTCCATGGTTTCCGAGCGGAGTGCCATGGCAGTACGAACTGGGAAGAAGGACCCAGTCTGCCAGGGCCTATGGAGGAGACTACCAGATGGGCTGCGACTGGAGAGCGACACTGCGATGGACAATCATGGCGCGGACGGGAAAGGGTCTTCCAACTGCCCTGGCCAAACAACCCCCAGTCAGCTTATCGGAGCCCGACCGGCGAGGAGGGGGCTTTAGCGGCAGCAGCCATGGTATGTATGCAAGTTAGCTTCGATATGTTGTCAGGCGTTGGTGGGTCGCGGGGATTCGATACATTATCCTGGCGAGGGCCCCAACCATATGAAGTGCCAGTAACGCAAAGCAGATCGAACAAAGGAGGGGGAGCTCGCTACGAGGGCGTGAGAGGGGAGTGCCAACATGGGCGGAAGGGGGCCGCATGTGAACGCATCCTCCGGGGCCTTAGATCGAGCTCGCTATGGAGGTCATGTTTGAATTCAGGCCGGTAACGGCCGCTGGCCGGGGGAGAGGCGGGTAACGGTAACGCTTGGACGGGGTGGGGTTCGTCGGTGCGGGGGCGCGCTGCGATCGCCGTAGTATGCGCCCGAACAACACTCTACACCTGCGAACACAACAGTGGCCCGCGATTCGATCTCGCGCAAGAGGACTGATAACACTGGCGACTCACATGCGAGTCAGCGTGCGCTTGCGACAACCTTACCACAGCGCGTCGGAGTCGCCGTCAAAGTCGTCAGGAACCACGACCTACACCTTGCGCGGGCGGCTGGTTCCATAGAACTTGAAATTGGAAAAAGGCGAGGCACCATGGCCGAGGATGTCTCGGGGCCCTGGCGGAAGACCTGTGCCAGAGACCCTCGAGCGGTGCGCCTCATATGCTGCAGCATCTGTATACGCTGCAGGTTGAGGTGCGTGCCTTGCAAATCAGTACATTCGTCTGAGTCTATCCCGACCCCCACCCGACGGATGAAGGGGCAACCAAGGGTTGCACGTCCTCTCTTCCCGCAACAAATCTTGCACTCGCCTCAACTGGCAGACTTGTCGACTGAGTTGCTGCCGCGACCGACGGCACCGCGACTTTAATGTCCCGCGGCCTAGCCGAGGTTCTCGAGGGCAACTGAGGAGGGGGTCTCCTCCTGTCTCTGCCTCCTCGTAAACAGGAAACCTGCAGACTCCTATTGAGCTTCAAACTGCCTGGAATTCACCATCTCTTCCTGGCTCTCTCGCACTGGCCCAGGCTGGTCAGCCTGCGTCTCTGTTGCCGACTGGTGGTCCCCCGCACGAGCCCTCCCGCCCAGTAGTCAGACTGGGACAAATCGCCCGAGTCGACGCGGCCAGACGCGGACGGAGGGTCGAGGAGGCGGCTCCTTGATCGACTGCACTGGGCCTAGAGTCAGTGGACTGCGCCGCTGCTCCTGCCTGGCAGGGGGGGTCTCAAATCTGCGACATCAGGCCAACGCTCTACACCTTTTTGGACGGGGAGAGGGGTGAGGGCGAGAAGCAACCAGAAGGGAGAGGGGGAAGGCTGAATGAGAGGGTGAAGGATATTGGGGAGGCGTGGAGGAGAAGGGGAGGGCGACGGTAAGGGGAAGGAGAGAGCCGAGGTGAGGCCGAGAAGAGGGGCCTCTGGTCGCCTCGTATTTCAGGCCCGCCTTGGCGGTGGCATCCCTGGTGGAGTAGTCCACCTCGGGCCGAGCCCCTCCCCTTGCCTCTTCCCCGAGCCTCGTCACCATCACCTGCCCCCCTCTCCTCCTCCCTTCTCTTTCTCCGGGTGGAGGAGACGCGGGAGGAGGCGCGGAAGGAGGTATGTGAGGAAGTGCAGTGAAGGAGGGGGAAGGGAAGGAGGGGACGGGGGAGGGGGCACGAGGAGAGGAACGGAAGGGAAGGGCCAAACCAGTCGAAAGGTGAAGTGGAGAATCCAGCAGCATACCGTAGGGCAGACCAAGAGGAGCACCGCAGACGCTCAACCAGTCGTGAGGCAGGGAAGGCCCGAGCCCAAACGCAGTGTACCTCGGAAGCGTGCATAGCGGACCAGAGCCAATCCACACAAGGCATCCGATACTTCTCTGGTCCACAACTCAGGCACGGTGGCTGGTCGGACCGACGGCCACTAGATGGCACTTGGCGCTCCTGGCAGGGGCCGGAGGTCCATCCTAATATCATCCTCGCCCAATGAGTCATATACGTCGAGCTGCTAATCTTCTCTTCACTTCTCCCTCCAGGTTCCTCCCTCCCCCGTCTCCCTCCTCCAACATCCCCAATCACATCCCCCTCCCGCCCGCCCACCCCAAACCCCTCTCATCTCCTCCCAGTTCACACCTCTCCCTCCCCTCCATCATCCCTCCTTCTCCTCCCTTCCTCCTTCCAATTCCTCATCTCGTTCCGCCTCCTCAGCCTCCTGCGTCGCCTTCGCCTGCGCTAGGTGTTTCTCCCTCCTCCTCCTCCTGCTGCTCCTCCTCCTCCTCCTCCTCACCACCACCACCACCACCACCACCACCATCATCATCATCATCATCATCACCACCACCACCACCACCATCATCATCATCATCATCATCACCACCACCACCATCACCATCATCATCATCATCATCATCATCATCATCATCATCATCAGCATCATCATCATCATCATCATCACCACCACCACCACCACCATCATCATCATCATCATCAGCATCAGCATCAGCATCAGCATCATCATCATCATCAGCATCAGCATCAGCATCATCATCATCATCATCATCATCATCATGATCATCATCATCATCAGCAGCAGCAGCATGAGCATCGTCATCATGAGCATCATCATCAGCATCATCATCATCAGCAGCATCATCATCATCAGCAGCAGCATGAGCAGCATCAAAATTATGTTCAGCATCATCATCGTCAGCAGCATCAGCATCATCATCAGCGTCAGCATCAGCATCATCATCAGCAGCATCAGCACCACCATCATCAGCATCAGCATCATCATCAGCACCAGCATCAGCATTATTATCATCATCAGCATCCTCATCATCGTCATCGTCGTCATCATCATCAGCATCAGCATCAGCATCAGCATCATCATCATCATCATCATCCTCATCTTCATCATCATCAACATCATCATCAGAGGGAGTGTGATCCACCGCCGCTTTACTGATGAAAGTTTCACCCCTCTTCCTCTGGAACCCGGGGGGTCTCCCCCCCTCCGAAAATCTCCCCCTCCCCTGCTGGACCCCCCCCCCCTCCTTCCCCCCGGCAAAACCCCCCCTTCCCCTACCGCCCCCCCCCCCTCCAGAAAATTTGGGGGGGTCACTACCGGTTCGAACCCCATCCCCCCCCTCCAGAAAACGGGGGTGGGTCACTACCGATTCGAACCCTCCCCCCCCTCGAAAACCGGGGGGGGGCACTACCGGTCCGAAGCTCCCCGCCCCACTCACCGCCAGCAAGCTCCTGAGTCTCTACCACCTACCACCGTCCGCACATCATCCGCCATTGCTGTCCCCAGCACCACTGTCCTCAGTCCTCACCACCACTGTCCCCACTGTTCCTACCACCGTCCCCACTGTCCCCACCCACCACTGTCGCACTGTCCCCACTGTCCCCACCACTGTTCCCACCACGGTCCCACTCTCCCCACTTTCCCCACGGCCCCAAGCACTGTCCCACTGTCCCCACTGTCCCACTGTCCCACTGTGTCCCACTGCCCCCGCCGCTGTCCCACTGAGCTGTCCCACTGTTCCCACCACTGTCTCCACTGTCCCCACCTCTGTCCCAACTGCACCTCTGTCCAATTGTCCCACCACCGTCCTCGCCACCGCCCTCACCACTCTCCACACCACCGCATTCCCCACCAATGTCCCACTGTCCCCATCACGTTCCCACTGTCCCCACACCACTGTCCCCACCACCACCGTCCCCACCACTCCCAGTCCCCACCACTATCCCACTGTCCCCACTGTTCCCACCATTGTCCCCGCTGTCCCCACCAGTGCCCCCACCAATGTCTCACTGCCCCCCCACGGTCCCCACCATTGTCCCACCACGGTCCCGCTCTCTGCGCTTTCCCCACGGTCCCCACCACTGTCCCCACTGTCCCCACTGTTCCCACCATTGTCCCCGCTGTCCCCACCAGTGCCCCCACCAATGTCTCACTGCCCCCCCACGGTCCCCACCATTGTCCCACCACGGTCCCGCTCTCTGCTCTTTCCCCACGGTCCCCACCACTGTCCCCACTATACCCACCACTGTCCCCACTGTCCCCGCCGCTGTCCTTCTGTGCTGTCCCACTGTCCCCACGGTCCCCACCACTGTCCCACTGTTCCCACTGTCCCCACCACTCTCCTCACTGTACTAAATACTGTCCCACCACCGTCCTCACCACCGCCTTCACCACTGACCCCACCACCACCGTCCCCACCACTGTCCCACTGTCTTCACCACTGTCCCACTGTCCCCTCACCACTGTCCCGTTGTCCCCACACCACTGTCCCCACCACCCCCGTCACCACCACCGTTCGCACCACTGTCCCACTGTCCCCGCAGCACTGTCCCCACCACCACCGTTCCCACCACTGTCCCACTGTCTTCACCACTGTCCCGCTGTCCCCTCACCACTGTCCCGTTGTCCCCACACCACTGTCACCACCACCCCCGTCCCCACCACTGTTCGCACCACTGTCCCACTGTCCCCGCAGCACTGTCCCCACTACCACCGTTCCCACCACTGTCCCAAAATCCCCACGACTGTTCAACTGTCCCGAGGAGCGGGAATCGTTTGCCAGCAGCAAGGGGGGGTGGTTCGAACCGGTAGTGACCCCCCCGGTTTTCGAGGGAGGGGGGGTTCGAACCGGTAGTGACCACCACTTTTGCATGATGGACCGGGGGGGGGGTTCGAACCGGTAGTGACCCACCCCCCGTTTTCGCGGGGGGGGGACGGGCTGGGAACCCCAAGAGACCCCCCCCCCGGTTTTCCGCCAGCAGCGGTAGACCACGCTCGTTCCATGATCATCACCATCATCATCATCATCATCATCACCACCACCAACATCATCATCATCATCATCATCACCACCACCACCATCATCATCATCATCATCATCATCATCATCACCACCATCACCATCACCACCATCATCATCATCACCATCATCACCATCATCGTCATCATCATCATCATCAGCAGCATCAGCACCACCATCATCGCCATCATCATCATCACCAGCATCAGCATTATTATTATCATCAGCATCCTCATCATCGTCATCGTCGTCACCATCATCATCAGCATCACCATCATCACCATCATCGTAATCATCATCATCATCAGCATCGCCATCATCGTCATCATCCTCATCATTATCAACATCATCATCATCGCCAGCATCATCATCATCATCATCCTCATCACCATCATAATCACCCTCATCCTCATCTTCATCCGTATCGTCATCCTCATCATCTCCCTCATCCTCATCATCAGTACCATCATATTCATCAACACCACCAGAAACATCATCATCATCAACGACAGCATCATCATCATCATCATCATCATAAGCAGCATCAGCATCAGCATCAGCAGCATCATCAACAGCAACAGCATCAGAATCAGCATCATCATCAACAGCAGCCGCATCGGCATCATCATCATCATCATCATCATCATCATCGTCAGCATCAAAATCATCAACATCATCATCACTATCATCATCAGCATCCGCAGCAACATCATCAACATCATCATCAGCACCGCTATCATCATCAGCAGCATTATCGACATCGTCATCAGCAGCATGGTCATCGTCATCGTCATCGCCATCGTCAGCGTCATCATCACCATCACCATCACCATCGCCACCACCATCACGTTCATTATCACCAGCAGAAACAACAATATCATCATGATCTTCACAGTCATGATCATCAGCAGCAGCACCATGAGCAAAATTATCACCATCATCATGATCATCATCATCATCATCATCATCATCATCATCGTCACCATCATCATCGTCGCCATCATCATCGTCGCCATCATCAACATCGTCATCGTTATCGTCATCGTCATCGTCGTCATCATCACCACCATCAGCGTGATTATCATCAACGGTATCATCAACACCATCCCCAACGAAAAGAACAAACACTACCATCACCACCACAACCACCGTACCATCATCATTAACACCAGTACCGTCACCACCACCACCATGGTCGTCGCCACCATCATCACCAATCACCATCGTTAACAACATCAGCATCATCATCACTCACCATCGTCATCACCATCAGCGTCATCATCGTCATCATCATCGATAGTAATCGTGGCTCACGCCAGCTGTGCGTTGACTTATGATGCAGCTACTTCGGGCGCTGAGCCCGAGGGCGCCGTGGGGCGGCTGTTGGTTGACCAGCCGCACCACGGCACAGGGGACCTTCGGTGCGGCACCAGTGGCGATGGGAGGCGGTTTCGCCTGGCGGGGGACCACGGCGCCGACTGGCTGGAGCGGGCGGCGAGCGGAGCTGCCCAGGGTGCCTCGCTGCAGCGGCAGGAAAGGGGACCCGCAGGCAGCGAAGACGGCATTGCCGCTGGACGCGGAACCTTCCCCCCGTCGGCGGAGGGGGCGCCACGGCGGCGGGGTTGCTGTGCGGCCGCCGGGCGGAGCGTCTAGGGAGCCCCAGCAAGTGCCGCAACGTGAACTCACGTCCCGAGGTCGGCCTGGTCAGGGACCTCCTCCGCGCCATCCCGGGCGAGGCCACGTGCACGCCGACTTGGAGGCAGCGGCCAGCAACAAAGGTTGGTCCCGAGTGGGGACAGCAGCATGGAGAAGTGCGTGGAGGCCGATGCCGACGGCGCAGCAGGCAGCGGCAAGGCACCGAGCCAAACCGGGCGACAGCAGTGCGGGCGAAGACCGCGGCGAGCCGGAGTGCGGCGGGAATCGGTCAGGAACGGTCGGCGGGGTGCGCCTCGAAGTCAATTTGCCTCAAGCCGTCACGAACCTGGCTCGCGAAGCACGCCGGCTGGTACCACATCTCACTGTCACCACAATGGAGGGGATGGAAGGGGAGAGGTCGTGAAGAGGGGGCTATACTGAACGAGGAGAAAAAAGATGGGGACGAAATGAGAATGGAAGAAGAGGCAGAGGGGGGGAGAGGGGGGCAGGGAGGAAGAGGGAGAGAGTGAAAGAACAAGAGAAGGCGAGGGATAAGATGAGAAACTAGGGAATCTAAGTCGGAATAGGCAGACTTGGAGGAACCGCTACAGAGAGAAGGGAGACAGACCAAGCATAAGATCTACGTTTCTATGAGCCCGCCCTGGCAACAACACGATCGAAGCAGAAGCGGCCTCGGTCGGCATAGAGCAGTCTCCGATGCGCAGTACGCTGAGTTCAACCTGGGCGACGATCCCCACTATCACATTGACACTGGAACGAGGCGATCCGTACTCTCGGCCTCTGGGCTTGGGTGCAACAGGAACGCCAGGGGCGAGGGGGGATACAACTGCTGCGAAAACGTATCCTTCTCCTTCTCCTCCTCCTTGCCCTGCTCCTCCTCCTCCTCCTCCTCTTCCTCCTCCTCCTTCTCCTTCCGCTGTCATGCTGCTGCTGATGTTCCTCTTCCTCCTCCTCCTCCTCCTCCTCCTCCTCCTCTTCCTCGTCCTCCTCCGCCTCAGAGGCCGAGGCGCTCCTCGGCGAGCTCGGGATGGCGGATGGGGCAGCAGCGGCCGAGGGCGCAGAACACGCCGCGGCCCGACGGGGGACAGCACCAGCGGCCCAACGCCTCGGGCAGCACGGGTCAACTTCGCCACGTCGGCGCACCGCGCCAAGGGTTGGAGCGGAGGCAGCGGAGGCAGCAGAGGGACTCCAGCGGCTCCAGCAAATAAGGGCCAATTAGTGCCAGCTCGGTCCTGGCGCAATCAGTGACGGCGCTGGGGAAATGACGCCGTACCTTCCGCCAGCCTGTCAAGATTGCGCCTGCCGGTCGCAGACGGCCCAGGGGAGCAGGGCTGGGCCAGCTTCTGTGCAATGCTGACCACGAAACTCCCACATCCACGACAAAGCATAACAACTTTCACTTCAGCAAGAACGCGCGTCGGATGCGCACGACCAGAACATGGGCGCCCGCTTGGATTCCCCAGGGTCGGGCCTGCAGCCGACGAGGAGCCCAACTCAGCCGAGTCAGAGGACCCCATCACAAGCGCCCCAGGGCATTGACGGAGGCTCGGAAGGGCCTCAACCTGGAATCGGCGATGCATCGCCGATGCGTCGCCGACAGGCCCCCGATTGCGAAACCGCGTGTTCCTGAGCGGGGTGGGCGACCAGACCCGCATTGGCCATCAATGGGCGATCGGGGGTCGACGCATAGCCCCCTGGGCCTTCTCCGCCCCCTAACTGTGCCACGGAGGGGCACACCCCGAGGGAGGGGCATGTCGTGCAAGGAGAGCGCGGCTCAACAGACGTTCGTATGCACCGTCATTCTGGCAACCACTTCCTTCAGCGACCTTCAGCGAAGACAACACGGTTACCGCCAAGACAAAGAGAGAGAGAGAGAGAGACATGCAGCAGCAAACCCGTGAAGGAAGAGAGAAAAAGAAAATGAGACTGGCGAAGGACACGACCATATGCTGTTGTGAGTGCCGCAGTTGTTAATATCGTCTTCAGTGGAACTCCCTACTCCCTATTGGGCCACGAAACAAGTGAGGGGTGTGCCGAGATTGGGGTGCAACCGCATGCGAACTCTACCCTTGTGGCCTCCCAAAGAACTCTGTATGGGGTCACGAAGCGTGTGAGGTGTGTGCCGAAAACGATGGGTCGAGATCACAACCGGTCGGATGAAACCACAACCGGACGGGTGAGATCCCAACCGTCCAAAGCCCCAGGCACGGTCAGATCCCAACCGAGGGAGAAGCTAATAAAGAACACACGTTTCAACATTATCATTGTTGTCATTGCAATCTGAAGCCTCACTGGAAAACTTAGACAGAACCGACTTCACGCGTGAGCACTAGCGGTTGGAAACTCGCCCGTCAGTTACTGGAGCGTAGTGATGTTAAAGTAGTAGGAGTAGTAGTACTAGTAAAAGTCGTAGGAGTAGTACTAGTAGTAGTAGTAGTAGTAGCAGTAGTAGTAGTAGTAGTAGTAGTAGTAGTAGTCGTAGTCGTAGTCGTAGTAGTAGTAGTAGTAGTAGTAGTAGGGATTGTAGTAGTAGTCTCAGTCGTAGCCGCAGTAATAGTTGTAGTACGAGTCGTAGACGTAGTAATGGTAATCGTCGTTGTCGTAGTAATTGTAGTAATACTCGTCGTCGTAGTTATAGTAGTAGTCGTAGTAGCAGTAGTAGTCGTAGTAGTAGTAGTAGTAGTAGTAGTAGTAGTAGAAATAGTGGTAGTAGTAGTGACATTAGTAGTAGAAGAAGAACTAGTAGTAGTAGTAGTAGTAGTAGTAGAAGTAGTAGTAGTAGTAGTAGTAGTAGTAGTAGTAGTAGTAGTGGTAGTAGTGGTGGTGGTGGTGGGAGTAGTAGTATCAATATTACTATTAATAATGAAAGTCCTAGTAGCACTGGTAGTAGACGTAGTCGTACGTACTGAAGAGAGACCTAAGAAATCCCTAAGGATTCCTAAGCTATTCCCAAGAGGTTCCTAAGAGGTTCCCAAGGATTCCTAAGGAGTCCTGGGGGCCCCCAAGGATTCCCAAACGGTTCCTAACGATCCCTAAATAATCCCTCAGGGTTTCCGACGGGTCAAGTAGGAGTCGCAGCAGCAGGAACAACGACCAAAAGGTACACAGCACGTACTAAGTAGTACGTATCATGGAGGAATTAGTAAGGCGTGAGTCGCAAGTAGTAGTAAGAGTACTTCTTGTAGCAGCAGCAGTACGAACAATAATGGTATCAGTTTTCGCCATAGTAGAAGTAGTAATGGTAGTCGTGGTAGTGGCAGTACTAGTAGCAGTGGTAGCAACAAAAATATGTAGTAGTAGTAGTAGTAGTAGTAGTAGTAGTAGTAGTAGTAATAGAGGTAGTATCAGTAGCAGTAGAGGTAGGAGCAGCAGTAGTAGCAGTAATAGTCGTAGCAATTGTAATCGAAGTAGTAGGCGTAGTAGTAGTGGTAGTAGTGATAGTAATACTAATAAAGGTAGTAGCAGTAGTCGTAGTAGTACGTACGTACCAAGTGATACGTAGCACGTGCTAGGTAACACTAAGACACAGGTAGTCAGTACTCGTAGCCCGGGGAGTCGTAATAGTCGTATGAGTGGTAGCCGTAGCAGGTGCAGTAACAGAAGTAGTCGCCGTAGCCGTCGTAGTGATACTAAAACAAGTAAGAATAAGAGTAGAGTAAGGGTAGCACCAGTCGCAGTAGTAGCAGTGACACTAGTAGTAGCCATGGTGATAGCAGTAGTAGTGCGAGTCGTAGTACTAGTAGTAGCAGTAGTAGTAGTAGTAGTAGTAGTATTAATAGTAGTAGTAGTAGTAGTAGTAGTAGTAGTAGTAGTAGTAGTAGTAGTAGTAGTAGTAGTAGTCGTAGTCGTAGTCGTAGTCGTAGTAGTAGTAGTAGTAGTAGTAGTAGTAGTAGTAGTAGTAGTAGTGGTCGTCGTAGTTGTTGTAGTAGTAGTAGTAGCAGCAGTAGTAGTAGTAGTAGTAGTAGTAGTGGTAGTAGTCGTAGTAGTAGTGATAGTAATCGTAATAGTAATAGTAGTAGTCGTAGTAGTAATAGTAGTGGTAGTAGTAGCCGCTGTAGTCGAAGCCGTAGTCGTAACAACCATCGTAATGATATCAAAACTACTAGTAATAATAAGAACAGCAGTTGCAGTAGTCGTAAGAGGGGGAGGAGGAGGAATATCAATAGGAACCTTGATAACGAAAAAAGTACCAAATAGTAAGTCGTACGTCGCACGGTCAGAATCCACAACTAAAACTAGCGTAAGAGTAGCACCAGTTGTAGTAGTAGCAGTGACGGTAGTAGTCATGGCAATAGCAGTCGTAGTGCGAGTCGTAGTAGCAGCAGTAGTAGTAGTAGTAGTAGTAATAGTAATAGAAGTAGTAGAAGTAATAGTAATAGTAGCCGTAATAATGATGATAATAATAGTAGCAGTAGTCGTCGTAATAGTAGTAGTGGCAGTGATAGTCGCTGTAGTCGAAGTCGTGGTTGTAACAACCACCGTAATGGTGTCAATACTACGGGTAATAGTAGCAACACCAGTAGCAATAATCGTAAGAAGGGGAGGGGGAACAATATCACAATAAGAATCGTAATAACAAAAACAACTACCAAGTAGTAAGTCGTACGTGCCAAGTAGTACGTCGTACGCACGAAATACTGATATTGGAAGCTCTCCAAATCGGTCAGAACCTCTCAGAAGCTTTCTCGGAAGCTCCCAAAATCTTACAGAAGCCCTCAAGATCTCTCAGAGGTTCCAGAATCTCTCAGGAGCTCTCAGAATCTCTCAGCAACTCTCAAAGGCTCCCAGCATCTCTCAGAAGCTCCCAGAAGCTCTCAGAAGCTCCCAGAGGTTCTCAGGATCCCCCAGAAGATCTCAAAATTTTTCAGGAGCTCTCAGAGGCCCCCAGAATCTCTCAGAATCTCTCAGAGGCCCTCAGATGCCCGAAATATTCACCTGGAGCGGTTGGGATCTCACCCGTCCCAGCTGTGCTTGGCGAGTGTGATCTGACCCGCGTTGTTGGGATATCACACGGCCGGCTGTGACCTGACACTTTCTCTGCGCCGAAATGGGGGTGGAACCGCATACGAGCCCTACCACTGAAGCCGTCGATGGAGCTCCCTATGTGGCCACGAAACGTGTGAGGGGCGTGCCGACATGGGGGTGGAACCGCATGCGAACCCTGCCACTGGGCCTTTCGCCCGAGCTCCCCATGGGGCCACGCAGCGTGTGAGGGGTGTGCCGAAGAAATGGGGGGGTGGAACCGCATTCGAACCCTGCCACTGGGCCCTTCGGCGGAGGTCCCAGTGGGGCCACGAAACGTGTGAGGTGTGTGCCGAAATGGGGGGGAACCGCATGCGAACCCTGCCACTGGGGCCTCTGGTGGAGCTCCCCATGGGGCCACGCAACGTGCGAGGGGTGTGCCGAAAATGAAGCGGCACCGCATGCGAATCCCGCCAATGGGGCCTTCGATGGAGCTCCCTATGGGGACACGAAACGCGGCAAGGGGTGTGCCAAAGTGAGGGGGATAATGGGAGGATGTAGGAGGGGGAGGAGGAAAAGGAATAGTGAGGAACGCGGGTCGCTGTCTCTTTAAAACGAGAACCCAACACCACAGGACGGCTGGGACAAACAAGTTGGTTCCTCGTGCTGCACACGGCGGCTGCTCAGGGGTTTGACAGCGGCGGCGGAGCAGCGAGGAGCTTGGAAATTGGGAACAGATTGCCGAAACTCTTCCCGCTCGTCGGGCCGATGCCATTTTTGAGCATGCGCAAGAACTGAGCGGCATCCCTGCGTCGCGGTCTCTGGGCTCACGGCCCTCGGAAAACCTGGAACGCTCGGACCCGAAGGACCCGCACAGACAACACCACGCTACCCGACCTCCACCGACCCACGTCCTGTGCGACGTGTGGGAGGCGCGGGCAGGGCGGGGAAAACCGCGACAAGGGAAAAGACCGATTGTGAACCTCGACTGCCCGCGCTCCCCACACCGAGCACAAAGAAAACTCTTGCCTGACACCGAGCACAACGCCAAACTGTCAAGGACCCCTGACATCAGCAATCCCGTCCGAAGCACACGTTCTGCTACGATCTCATACCGCACCTTGACATATGGAAGGTTGGCCTGGTGCTCAGCTCAGAGACGAGCCAATACATAAACTTTCGGTTACCACTCCAGGCCCAATACGGGGCAGCCTGCATTAGGGCCGCCACGCGGCGTTTACACGGGAATTGCTTGTATAACCACCAGCAACTCTAGATATGTCAACCCGCAACTCACTAAAACATACGTTTGATAATTCCTACCCTGATCCTGTAAAGTGTGTATATATATCACCATCTTACAATCAGCCGCGATTGCAGTCAAGCTTGGCCCGAGGAAGCGCAGGGCGGTTCGCAAGACGAAGACATCTTCGCATCCTGTCAGTGGGTGAGGCAGAAGGCCGAACAACGAACCTGTCACATTCCCTCCTTCATCCGCTTCCACCACTCCAAACCCCGTCCGTGCAACACTCTAAAATTCTGAATCAATAGCAGTCCCGTCGATGCAGACGACCCATGCATCAAGGACTCCATACCTAGAGAAAAGATCCCACTTCGGCTCGGCAGTGACTTCTGGCAACCACCTCCTCCTCCTCCACCTCCTCCTCCTCCTCCAAATCCTAATCCTACTCCTGATCCTAAGCCTCCTCCACCCCTTCTTCGTTATCATACTCTAGCCTCCGTCTCCCTCTCGCCTGCTTCTCCCTCTTGCCGCAGAAGAAGATCGGGGCGGCGAACTTGAGCACCGGGGCGGTCCTCGCCATCTCCAGCTGGTGGTCGTACCTCACGGAGAGCGAGGGAGGACGAGGACGAGGCGACTGGGCGCTCACATTGCATGAGGAAGCTTTGTCGCGCGGCCCCCATGCCCCAGAGGCGTCGAAATACCCTTCCAAGGAGACCCAGGAGTTGAGCCAAGCCTCCGGCGACCCGAGGAGGCGGCATGGGAGAGGAGGGAGAGACACGAGGCGGAGGCGGAGAAAAGAGAAAGACAGACAGAACACATACTACAAGAAGACCGCGCGTAGCCTTAGAGGAAAATGTTCGACCCGCCGTGTTCGACGCCTGGAGGGAGCCTCCCGACGAATGGACCAAAATCGAGAAGAGCAGGCGGATACCGGATTGAGTTCTTCGCCGAGCCCTTGAGGGATCATCGGAGTGTGACATAATTGCCCCTCCGCAAACACCTCCCCAGAGGGCCTGGTCCAGCCGATCGGGCTGGTTGTGCGAGGGGACTGATCTGCGCCAGTTGTGCTCCGATGCGCATCAAGATTGCCCTCAAAGGTTACATGACGGCCCGCGAAAGCGCCGAGATGGTCCAAGGGTTCCAAGACGGCTCCTACACGAAGGGAATTTAGAAACTTCCCAGAGAGCCCCAAGAGGGCCCCCTGGGGGGAGGGGGGGGGGGAATCACTGATGTTCCTGAAACGCTGCGATCATGTTCGGGCAATCCCGTGTTCGCGTTGCGGGACGCCCACGACGGGCCAGGCAGCCCCAAGATCGCCCCAGGGCGGCCCAGGAGGCCCCCAAGAAAGCTTCAGAACGGCCAGAGAGCCCCAAGGCGGCCCAAGAGGGTCTCAAAATTCAAGCGGGGGAAATCGAGTCGGCCTTGGGAACATTTCCTCCCAAAATAGCTCGAGAAGCCCCAGAACGCCCCCAACACGCCCCCAAGAGGCCCCCAAGATTTACCAACGAGGCCCCAAGAGAAGACCCCCGATGGGCTCCGAATATGCTCCCCGGTACGTATTCTACGAGACACGACACCTCTGCCATGGCAACGTGTTGGCCCGAAGACTCCTAGACACTGAGGGTCTCCAGTCAAATGGGGATCGTCTGATGCCGAGACACCACGGTGATATGCTTCGCGTGGAGGCCAAGGAGACCCTGGGCATGTGGAGAACGAATCGTCCCACGGAAGCAAGAAGATGCGTAGGCAGCAAAAAGCAACGTAAATCGACGAGAGCCTGAGAGGCGTGCCAGAGGGCTCCAAGGGGTCGGCGGCGCGGCGTAAGCCGATGAATCACTGGCCCGAACATGATTCGCGCTCAGAAGAGCACGTGGACAACGGGCTGCAAGAGCGGCTATGAGACACCTGTCAACGCAAGTATGGTCCATGTCCCGCTCTCGCTCATATCGCTTGGTCGTGTGCGGCAGCCCTGGGTGCCTGCCAAATCTGCCCTTGAGGCCTTCCAAGCCGTCGTCGTGGGAGCCGTTGGACATGCTCGGCTGCATCTCCTCCGCCACCTTTGAGGCGACGGCCGCTTGACCGTATGCTGGCTTGCTCCCACAATTGTTCTTAGGGTTATACATGGTTATCATGGGGTGGCCTTCCGAGAGAGTGGCAGAATAATTGACTTCTGGGACCAATCGCCACCCTGGCGAAGGAGGCCAACGAAGGCCTGCTATGAGCAGGACCCTGAAGGCAGTGACTGTACACCTGGCGGACGGGATCACATCTTCGGGGAGCAAACTGACAATATGTACTGCAAGCTCTGTTACCAAAGAGCCGTTGCAGAACGACGGTTTTCCCTTCACATCCCCGATCCTAACCCCCTACCCCGTCCTACTTGTCTTCCTTCCTCCCGCCTTCATGACCAAGGATCGCCTCTGCTTGCCAACGAGCCGGAGCACCTCGAGCACGCTGTCCTCGTCGGACTCCAGGAACCACCGGATAACCTCTGAGGGAGCACGCGGCAACGATGATGACGAGGGGAAGGGGAAGGGGAAGGAGGGAAGGAGGTAATTGTAGGGAGGAAAGAATGAGATGGAGCGTGGGAGGGAATGAGGAACAGGGTCCGCTCCCCCTCCCATATCCCCATTTCTTACAAACAAAAACCTCTACAACGCGCCACCACACGTGCCGCAATGGCGAACTGATAGGTTCGCGTGAGATTTCCCCAGCGTTTACGATCTTGATTGAAACTTGGATACTGCAAACAACGACACGAATTGAAGGCAGGTTGTTTTCTTCAACATGAGGCTCTTGCCATGGAGCCTCCCCCACTCGTCCTAACACACATCCACCTTCTACACGGATGGAAGGCAAATCGTGTGGAAGTGGGACTCTCCCATCGGCGCCAGGCACACTTGCCTTATACATATCCAACGGCGACACGGGTAGATCTCGACTACTATTCAAACTTGGGCTCTCGCATGGGACTTCGTGCAATGTACTACCTCGTCTGCAAGTATGCAACAGTTACCCGAATGGACGGCTGTAGTCTTTCAAAATGGGGCTTTCGCTGGAAATCTCGTCAGGAATCCCCCACCGTGCCCCCTGGCACCTTGAGGCGTGGTAAAGTGCCACAATCTGCCTGGTACGGTTTGTATATTCTAAAATGGTCGCCCCCCCTCCAGTGCATCGCCCCTGCCCCCTAAGCGACGACCCCTCCCCCCTCAAAATAAAAACATGTGACGTACCCAGCCCATCCGCATCAAGTGGACATAGATGTTGGCCCAACCTGCCACGACAATGACCGTGCAGGCGAAGTTATATGTTTGCAAACTACATGGGGTGCGCTCGCGTGGCACGGTTCACAAGACAACAACAGAAGGACTAGGAACGAGGACCCAAGATTGAGAAGGACATGGGGGAAGAAACAACGAGCAGGAAACCAACGCGTGGGGTGCCGAACCGCCAGCGCGGCAACAGCACAAGGTGGCCGGGGGCGGAAGACGACGACGAAAGTGGCAGGAGGAGACCTAAGAATGGTGCGTTTGTCGGTAGTCCGCAAAAGATGCAGCGCTGCATGCGCCATGTCGCCGCGGTGCTCGCAAAATGAACACCTTTGCTTATACTTAATGCAAGAAGCGACCCAGGCCTAGCTCGCCCGCCAGCTTCTCTGCTTCCTTCCTGACGACCCCGGAACTCGAAACAACCCCCAGGTATGAGAAAGGCGCCACTCCGCTGGATCCCAGGAGTGGCGAGGTCTCCTGGTGGTCCGCGTAGGACGTCACTCCGCTGCCCCCCCCAGCAGCCCTCGAAAGTGGCGACAATTTCGCTGATCGGAGCCCCCCAGGGATGGCAAGGTCTCCTGGTGGTCCGCGTAGGACGTCACTCCGCTGCACCCTCCCGCAGCCCTCGAAAATGGCGACGGTTTCGCCTATCGCTGCCCCCCAGGGATGGCGAGGTCTCAACAGCCCTCAAAAGTGGCGACCCATCCGCATATCGCAACCCTCCAGGTATGGCGGGGTACCCTGGTGGTCCGCGTAAGACGTCACCCCGCTGCACCCCTCAACAACCTTTGAAAATTGCGACATCGCAGCCCCCCAAGGGATGGCGAGGTCTTGTGGTGGTCCGCGTAGGACGGCGCTAGCTGCACCCCCCAGCAGCCCTGGAAAATGGCGACGGTTTCGCAGATCGCGGCCCCCCGGGGGGATGGCGAGGTCTCCTGGTGGTCCGCGTAGGACGTCATTGCGCTGTACCCCCCAGCAGCCCTCGAAAGTGGCGACAACTTCGCAGATCGGAGCCCCCCAGGGATGGCGAGGCCTCCTGGTGTCCGCGTAGGACGTCACTCCGCTGCACCCCCCAGCAGCCCTCGAAAATGGCGACGGTTTCGCCTATCGCAGCCCCCCAGGGATGGTGAGGTCTCAACAGCCCTCAAAAGTGGCGACCCATCCGCAGATCGCAACCCTCCAGGTATGGCGGGGTATCCTGGTGGTCCGCGTAAGACGTCACCCCGCTGCACCCCTCAATTATTCACTGCGTGGGGATCCCCATATGTGCATCTCCTTGCTGGCGCTCCCTTGGTGGTGGGACTCGGTGAGGACGAATCTGGATTTAAGTGTGACTGAGCTGCCTCTCTCTCTGCTCTCTCTGCTCTCTCTGTCTCTCTCTCTCTCTCTCTCTCTCTCTCTCTCTCTGCCCTCTCTCTGTCTCTGCCTCTCTTTCCCTGCCTCTCTCTCTCTCTCTGCCTCTCTCTCTGCCTCTGTCTCTCTGCCTCTCTCTCTCTCTCTGCCTCTCTCTCTGTGCCTCTCTCTCTCTGCCTCTATATCTGCCTCTCTCTCTCTCTCTCTCCTCTCTCTCTCTTCTCTCTATTCTCTCTCTGCTCTCTCCTCTCTCTCTCACTCTCCTCTCTCTCTCTCTCGCTCTCTTCTCTTCTCTTCTCTTCTCTTCTCTTCTCTTTCTCTCTCTATCTCTCTCTCTCTTTCTCTCTCTATCTCTCTCTCTCTCTCTCTTCTCTCTCTCTCTCTCTTTCGCTCTCTCGCTCTCTCTTGCTCTCTCTCGCTCTCTGTCGCTCTCTCTCGCTCTCTCTCGCTCTCTCGCTCTCACTCGCTCTCTCTCGCTCTCTCTCGCTCTCCCTCGCTCTCTCCCGCTCTCTCTCTCTCTCTCTCTCTCTCTGCTCTCTCTCTCTCTCTCTCTCTCGTCTCTCGCTCTCTCTCTCTCTCTCTCTCTCTCTCTCTCTCTCTCTCTCTCTCTCTCTCTCCCCCTCTCTCTCTCCACTTCTCTCTCTCTCTCTCTCTCTCTCTCTCTCTCTCTTCTATCTCTATCTCTCTCTCTCTCTCTTCTCTCTTCTCTCTCTCTCTCTCTCTCTCTCTCTCTCTTCTCTCTTCTCTCTTTCTCTCGCCTGTCTCCTCTCTCAACTCCCCCTCTCTCTCTCCGCTCTCTCTCTCTCTCTCTCCTCTCCCTCTCTCTCGCTCTCTCTCTCTCTCTCTCTCTCTCTCTCTCTCTCTCTCTCTCTCTCTCTCTCTCTCTCTCTCTCTCTCTCTCTCTCTCTCTTCTAGTCTCGGCTCGAGAGTGCTCTGCGCTCAGACCGCAGCCACGACGCGAAGCGCCCCGCCTCGGAGTCAGACTCCCAGGCCTCGCGAGACCGGAGGGGTCCCAGCAGGGCCCTACTGATTCGCGTCACCTCTCCGCACCAGAGTGCCCGCAGCAATGGCCCCCAAGAAGCCGGAGCGCCGTCGCTCTTCAAAGCAGCCTCCGAGCTCCCGCCCCACGCGCCCTGCTGCTGAAGGGTCCCTCCTTCAACGCAAGCAGGACTGCATCGCAGCGTTCAGGCAAGCGGGGTCTGACCGCCCCACGGCCGCCTACAACGGGCTAGCCGAACTGAACGCGGACGAGCTCCAGGCAATGTACGACATGCACAAGTCCAACACGAAGAAGCTTGGCAGCGCCCTTATCCGCATGTGCGCCGCCAACCAGATTAGCTACACGCTCGATCATCACCAGCGCAGCAAGCCTAAGCGCACTGGCGGAGACACATCGCACCCACCAGCGGGTTCCGCACGTCTTCAGGCTGCGGACACCCAATTCATCGCCTTGGACCCTGCCTTTTGGAAGGTCCCTGTCCTTGCCGAACCCACCTCGCCTGACGACGGCAAGACGTACAAGCCCAGCATCAGCCTCCACGACTACGAGAGTGGTGAACGGCTGCTGCAGCACCACCTCGAGCAGGGCAAGCGAGCCACGGGTCAGCTCGCGATTGCTGTCATGGGCCCGAAAAACGACAACTACGTCGGTACCGAGCTCGCCGTCCCCGTCCTGAAGCGCCACCCCAAGGCGCCCAAAGTGGTCCAACTTTAAAGCCGTCACCATCCTCGAACCCGGCAAAAGCCTAGGCAGGTTTGGATCGGGCGTCGGAAAGAGGCCCCTGGCTGCCACCTTCGGCGTCAGTCTCCAAGCGGTCGACAAGGTCCTGGCGGGATCAGGGCAACTCGGTGCCACCTACGACCTCAGCAACGTAGGTGCAGACGAGCCCACCGCCGACAAGTATCAGACAGTTTGGTTCCCTGAGGACCAGCCCATCACGATGGCAGACGCGTTCCAGAAGTCGGTGGAGTTCAAGGCCCTGGGAGTCGTCAGGCACGGCAAGTCAAGCCTGCTGGGGATCCGTGTTCCGCGGGGGTCTGACGTCGCCAAGGCCGCTGCTGTCAGCACCCGCGGCTGCGAGGCTACCCTCGCCAAGACGCGCTACCGCATCACTGGCATTGCGGCGCGCCGCGCCACGCTGACCCAGCTCGCCAAGACTCTCACGGGCCCGTCCGTTAAATGGGACTGTGAGGTCTACCACACCGCCTGGGACCCAGCCACTGCGGCCCAGTTTGCCTTAGTGCGCGCTCATCGGCCCCCACTCACCTATACGGTGCAGGTCGCGGGGTGCCCCATCCCGTGGAGCATCACCGAGGCCCCGCTGGCTGAGGTGGCGCCGAAGCGGGACAACGTTACCATCGTCACGCCTACCACCATCACAGAGCCTGTGACGCCGCCAGCCGGTGGTGGCGGCTTTAGCCCCGCCACCGGCACACTCCTCACCAAAGCGGCCCAGAGCCCCTACCTCCACGACCTCATGACTGCCACGCCCAAAGGCAAGGGCGTCGCACCGCTCCTGACCCCCAAGGAGGAGCCTTCAGCCAAGCGCCACCGCTCCTCCAGCGGGAAACGTGACGCCACGCCGCACGCAAGGCCACCCTGCGCCCCAGGCCGCAGCTCCTCTGCGCCCCCGCACGGCACGGACGGAGCCGCTGAACCGACGGCCCCCCCAGGACCAGGTGGTCACGACCCCTGGCTTGGCACGGCGGCGGCAGAAGGTGGGGGCCACACCGAAGGCGACGCTGCCACAGCCGCCGAAGTACCAGGTGACGTCGTCGACGTCGAGATCCTCTCATCAGGTGATGAATACAGCGTGGCCCCCCACGAACTCAACACCTTCGGCGAGCGCTTCGCATCGGCCTCTAAACCGCCCGATGCTGCCACGACCCGCATCCAGCACATGGAACAGCAGCACGAGCTGCTAGCCAACACGGTGGATAACATGCAGGTGCAGCTTGCGGGCGTTCTCTCCTCCCAGGCCACACTCACGGAGCACGTTTCAGGGCTGGAACGGGGGCTTGCCACCGTCGTCACCCAGCAACAGACGGCAACCGCCGACGCCGCTGCACTGCGCGGCGACAT